CCGGGAAAGTAATTTGCCTGGGAGCCTTTGCATTTTTTCTGTATTAGTCACATGACCATGGGCGTGGCCTGATGACGTCATCAATAGTGTTACTGATCAGGAAAAAGTTAAAACACATGAAATAACTCTGAACTAACTAAAAATGGAGGTTATATGAGACTAAATTTTCCCTAGCAACGGCTCAAAAAGATCGGTTAATGGGCCCTTAAGGCCTTTAGTTAATTATTAACAGCCACTTAACTGACTATTTGCGAATCAAGGGGTGCAATATGTGGCTGACCCTTTTAAGTCCTTTAATCCAATGCAACGTGGAAGTCTGTTTGATTTTTTTTATAACTGTTTTTTTTCGGCCAACTCTCATCTTAATCAACAAAGATTTTAACTGAATTAAATAAGAGGCAAGTAAACTTCAGAAAACAAAGAAACACATTTGGAATGTGATACAAAATGTGTGTCTCTCTTATCTGTTGCACTTTCTCGTCACTAGATTCCACTAATTTGGGCTCCAGGCTCCAAAGCAAGAATTTCAGTGCTCCGGACACCGTACCTAAACAAGATCAGATCTCCAGGCCGTGAAATGATGGGGCTCCGGGCTCCATAGTCAAAAAGTCCAGGCACCAGGGCTCCAGGTACCCCTCCAACCCCCCGTTTTGGGACCCTAATTAATATCTCCAGAGTTTGCATGTACAACGTGCAAAGTCAGTTTTTGATCCATATACGGATCGTTCGATTTTGATTCAATCTTCGAATGCTACAGTATACGAACCAAGAACTTTTTCTACGATCGTTATATCTTCGCTCTGATATGACGTAAAAATATTCTACTACAATGTAGTTAAGTTAGTCCCTTTGTCTGGTGCAGTTTTCGCATCGCAAATTTCGATCTTTGCGGTCGGTTAAACCACAAGGATTGCGACTCAGGTTTTTTTCGCAACGTATCAGTTTGTCTATATTAGACAACCTCTCATTTGTAAGCAAAGCCGGTTTGTTTGGCAAATTAAAAACAGGACCGGAATCACGTGCTATTTATGTGATCAAAGTGACCTGGAGTTTCAGTGTTTGCTGCACTTTATTCGACAGGAAAACTATTCAATAAAATGATCAAAAATGTGTTCAATAAAATGGGCAAAAATGAAGCAATTATGTATCCAACGCAAGTATACAAGCCATTAGTTAAGTTCTGAATTGGCATTCAGGAATCAAATGTCGATATAATTCACTAATATTAATATTGTAGAATATTTTAGTTCCAACTACTAAATTACAATTACATGCAATTGCAAAATTAACAAAGAAACAACCAATTCTACATTATAGAAGAACCCCTATTAAATAAGCACTGGCCTTAACGTCCTCTCTTGTATCAACAAAGACTTTGTATCACAATGTGATGTCGAAATGTATATCTGTTCAAAGTCCATAGTAGTTTCCTAGCTGCTTCGAATTTAGGTTGAATTGAAAGCCTCTGAATGAACAAATTTACTGAACATAGGTGATACATTTTCAAAATTGAGGGCCTTTTCTTCCTGACTACCTAGCAGTCGAGATGGAATCGTTCAATTATTTAATTAACCATTTATTTTACAATAAAAAGACACCCTGGAAATTGTCCTCGTTCAGCTGTCGTTCCATTACCACTGTAAATACTGTTTTGGAAATCAAATTTAACTCCTGAACAAACAACTGAATGTTGACCATTTTGACCAAAACAAGAGTTGGCAGAGCCAGAAATGGAAGCTTCCAGATGGTATGTGACACCTTTCTCTATGTCAACTGGACTGTCGAAGAAAACATCGAAACCGTAGTAAGAAACTAGCATTGATTCTTTACACTCTGAAGAAAATTTTCCTTTTGTGGTACAGACATTATGAAAGAACAAACCATCGAAACGTTTTAGATAAAGGGCAACAGAATATTCACAATTTCTGCTTCCGCAGAGTGTTGCTCCAAGTAAGGAGATGTCTTTGTCGACCTCAAAATAAAGACAGTCTCGTTTACCAGGCGAATAAGGATAACCTGAGTCAGTGTGAACCACGGAACCAAATCTGCAACAACGCTGGAACAATTCCAAACCAGTTCGTTTAGCCTCTGGAAATACCACTTGGGTGTCTGGAACTGAATGCAAGTATTTAACTACGCTAAAAGCTTCGTCTGATGTCAGTATCTTGCAGTCAAGAACAACAGCAACAAATTCATATTGGGTCATCACTGGAAACCGTATTCCTTTCACAATCCGTTCTCCGAGAATTCTTCTTTTTTCACTTCCATCTGTTGATAAGCCTTGTTCTTCACATCTCTTTGTCGCCCACAAATTCACCGCTTTGAACAACTCTATCTCTTGAATATTCAAAGTTTCCCGCGCGACTATTGTTTCAAGTAAGGACCTCTCAATTGTCGCAAATCCATCTGATTTCAGAACTTCTTCTGTCTGTTCATCGATTACTTTCCAGCATTGATCCACCAGTTTTTCCTCTTCATACTTCTGTGCTTGTGGCAAGATGTCGAAAACATTCGATGGATCTAAGTTATCCTGCAGATATTCCGCACATTTATCAGCCAGTGAAGGCACCATGTATTTCTTCGCCAAATACAGCACTCCCATCAAATTACTTCCGCTCAAGTTCACTTCATCGCTGTA